CGCGGAGTGTGGGGGGGGGGGGGGGGGGGGGGCATGCAGGCATAGGAGTTATATGCGGGGAATGTCGCCACATGTTTTACAAAGCAGACAAAAACTTTGTTGTTGTCTCGGCATTGATATTAATTGACCTTTTCAGAGCCTTCTAAACAGTGCGCTTTTGTCTTCTCCTCTGCTTCCTAATTCAGAGACAGCTGCAGCATGCAGAATGAAGCCCTCGAGAGTGGGCAAGGTTGAAATTATTTGTGTTGGTGGATGACGAACAGAAAAAGGAAACACTCTGATGGCAGTGAGGGGGAAGAAAAGCATTGGGATGAGGCTGATGCTCCTGCCCGGAATCCCAATGTTAGAATAAAATGTTCACGTGAAGTTATATTTGTCAGGCTCCGAGAAATGTGCCTTTGATGTATAATTAATATTATATCTAATCACTGTTGTCCTATTCTGTGAATCAGGGAATCTGTGTTTTCTGGTGGCCCATTTTGATAAAACCTAAGAGCCATCTATCCATCCATCCATCCATCCATCCATCCATCCATCCATCCGCAGAGTAGCAATTTATAATATTGATAAAACAGAAGGAAATAACAGCAGGTAGATGTTTGTGTTTTACACCTCTTTTTATTTGTGACTAAACCCAATGATGGAATTATTAATATGAAAAAGTGTCAAGAAAAGTATGAAAAACTGCATGTCAAAGTTTTGGTGGCATGTGCGACGTGTCATGAGTTGCTTTCAAAGCTTCGGTGAAGCCGTAGTCCTCAGTCCAGAGTCCCTCACAATCCATTTGACAATTATGTCAGTCAGCTCGTCTGCCTCAGACTTCCTGACCTGTGCTTGGTGAGCCTGGTCTGATACAAGCCAGGTATCTGAGCAGAAGTCGAAGCCTCCGCCAACACTTGGTGTTGAGATTGTGTTGGTATTTTAAGCTCTAGGCGCTTTGTGAAGCAACAACCATTTGCCACCGTGTGTGAAAAAACAGGCTGGATGACGGAATTATAGTCCAAGGTATCATGTTAATTGTGTTACTCAGTTAAAATGTATCTGTACTGCATATATATGCACAAACAAATATATATGTATATATACATAATTATAAAATACATTATATATAATAATTATGTGTTGCATACATAATGAACAGACAAGTAACTTTAAAATACATGAGGAGGTTATGGAAATTGTGCAGTAGACGATGGTAACTGCTGGAACAAAGACGGACCTTGGTTTGTTGTGAAGGTTCTGTTCAGTGAACCAGACCTATAATTACACCCTTCTCCGTCTAGGAGGTCATTTGCAGTTGGGTGTGTGTTCATTATGTGTCTGCCTCCATGTGTGCACGCAAGCGAAGAGATTGTTGTGACTTGACTGATGCCGTTCTTGAGATGAATCAAAGATTCTGATGTGTCAGCAGGGATGAATAATGCACACTCCTTCACTACTCTCTCTTCTCCACCTCTTGTCTTCATTCGTTTGCCTCTCTTTTTATCACAGCTGCCACATCTGAAGACATCTACTCTGACTTCCCCACCCTTCCCTCTCCCCCGGCCGATGCTGAAGAGGGCATCGGTTCCCCATCGCTGTCCTCCACTCAACCCTATAGCTTGCTAACTCATTATTCTCTGCCCGATAAGAGATTTTTCCCAATGTCTTGGTAACTGCAAGACAGTGGCAAAAAGGAATAAGTGTTTCCTTCTCAGCTAAGCAGCAAATAGCATGGCGGCAAGCATAGGTTTTCTTTCTGTCAGCAGGTGCATTGAACGTGTGCGTAATATGTTGACGTGCACAGGTCATTATCCAGTCATTGGAGGAGGAAGTGTGGCTATTGATTGGGTTTGACAGTTACATCCCTGACTGACAGTAGTCATTAGAGGGGTTAGTTTGACTGACAAGATGGCTGACAAAGCAGCTGACAAACTAGCTCATCAGAACTTGGATGTAGAGGTGGCACCATTCACTTTCAAGTGTGGACTGTATAGTTGGCTGCCAGTAAGTGTTCACACACCAGAATATTCTTTTCACCTTGCTCCTATCTCTTGACAAGTCTGACAGAATATTTTCCGTTTTTGCCGTGAGAAAGGAAAAAAAAAAAACCTCTCCCTGTGTGCCTGGTTAGAGAGTTGGATGAATTTATTTCAGCTGGGTGAATGCCAGAATACTACTGAGTCCCTACAAAGCAGGGAATAATACAAGTTTTACTTTACAATGCTTTATTTATGAGATAACTCCATATGACTTCTGATGCTGATGGCAAAACAAATCCCTCTGTGCATACCAATTATGACATTATGACCTTTCGTCATGCATCTCAAGGGCACTGGCTGCCTATAATGAGCTTAACCTTAAAAGGTTGATATATTCCATTGTGATGGTTGAATTTTTGTTAATGCTGCTGGAAGCTGAGCGGTCCTTTTGTCTCAGACCTCGAACGACTACTCTAAATGTTGAAGTCTTTAG